AGGTGAGTCATGGGGAGCTTGACTCATCAGATTCTTGTGTCAGGAGTTGCAGAGAGAGACTGGAGACAAAGGATTTCAGCTGCTTCTTAGCAAAGATCATTTTGGTAATTTATCCTTAAAACATTCTCTGAACTAATTAAACCATATTTTGACAAGAAATATGGATGATAAGCCAGAAAAGTTTCACTGAAAGAAAACTTCAGCTTGAATCTCTTTTAATCTTCTTTCACGCTGAGACATTCCTTAATTTGAATATCTCCATCGGTCCAGATCACAATCAAAGGGATGTCATCTTAGGGAAAAAACCTAACTATGTCAACCATCTCAGAATTTCCAGCTACCACTTTCCGTGTTTCAGTGGACTGGGGCAGAGCACTGGGTTCCCCGCCACGTATGGAAATCAGTTTGCCAGGAGGGCAGAGATGCTTCTAGGTGGAGAGACGACTTGTGAGCGTGCGCACCTGCACCCCATGCGCACACCCCATGGGAGATCTCAGGTCCTTTCCTTTCATAGTTGTGAATAATAGGCTCATGGATTCGGGGCTGGAAGGGATACCTTGCTACGATTCTGCAGGAATTAAAGGTGAATGGACACCTGCCCACGAGAGAAGGCCACAGCTCAGCCCGACCTCCAGGGCACCCTGATCTGAGCGCCAGGCTCTGACAGCCTGATGTTTCCAACATTGTGCTTTTAAAATTGCTTCAAAACGTTTTGTCCTTTTGATGTTTTTCCCAAGTCCTGTGTATTTCCATGACAGAATCATTTTTTACAGAGAAATACATACTGCCACCATAGCAAAGGTGCACATTTATTATGGGACCATTTTGGTGAAACCGCAGGCAGCGTTCCGGAGCGCACCCCCTTCTCGTCTCCCCAAGCCAAGCTTTCCTGGAACACGAGGTTGTTATACTGCTCCAATAGGCAGTTGGGTTTCCAGTAAAAAGCAATGTTTAAATGCAAGACAGGTGGGGTCAATTTCATTGACCTCCAGGGCCCTCCACCTGCCAGCAGGCAGTGTGACAAATTGCAGCACAGGGACCCGGCGGCTGTCATGGACTCCTGTGTGCTCCAGCCTCTGGGACAACCACAGTCTTGTGGTGTTTAAGGTTTCTTTATTTTGAAACTTATTTATGGGATCCCAAATATTGCAAAGGTGCTCCAGGCCTCCCAGGGGAAGTAGAAATCGTGGGTAGGGGTTCATAGCAAATTTCTTGATCCCTAGAGTGCAGCCCTGGGACCCCAGCAGCTGGGTACCAAAGCCAGGCTTGGAAAAAACTGCAAGGACTCTGATCCAAGCCGACCATTCCCTCCTGCAGGGCTCTCTGTGGAGGCCTTCCTGTTCCCCTCTCCTAGCATGTCGATCTTTGATATCTGTGTGGGATCCTTGAAGCCCCTTAGCCCACAGCTGTTTAACCCAGCTGTCCCCCCCCACACCCACAACATCGCCAACAGCACACGAGACCAATGCTCCAAGGCTTCTCTCTTGCTGAACGTGACCCTCTGCCCTTGACGCTACAGTTGCATGCGTGCTAAGATGTCGTCCTTGCTCCTGGACTAGTTCTGCCATTGGTATTCAGTTTTGACATGACTTAATCATCCTAATGTTGCAGAAACCAGAGACGTAAGAAAGAATTGCCATTTTTGAGAGTCTGGAAAGAGCAAGGTGCTACTAAATATTGGGTGTGAAAAAAGTGGGGGTGACTCAGGGGTGCACTCAGAAGCCTTCTGAATGAGCTTCCTTCCCAGAAGTCCCTTCACTCTAGAGAAGAAAAGCCGCTTGACTCCTGGAAGACAACTTGGAACCCTAGTGGTGGCCTGGGGTCTTGCCTTCAAGAAAACATTTGGGCCTCAGTGCCAAAGATGGGCAGAGTTTTAGGTCATAGAGATGAGAAATTTCAGTTTCCATGACTTAAATTAAAATAACATGTTTATGTTAGTTACACATCAATTTTTATGGCTTCTCCACTGACTGGGTCTTCAGTTAATTAACCAGAGTAAATTTTTACTCCCCGTTCTCGTCTTTTCCTGTAGACCTCAAGAAGCTTTCCTCTAACATCAACATCCACTCTCAGAGTCACTGCTACGTTTCAGTTATATCCAATATAAAAGGATAGAAGATTTGAGAAACCGTTTACTGAGCTGACTGTGCTCATCTTGGTGGGAACAGTGAGAACTTTTTGGAAAATTAGTTCAAAGAGTAAATGAGGACCTTAGGGACACTGGGATTCCAGCTGTGATGTTCTCTACAGAACGCTCTGGGACCTGCCTGCCGAACCCTAGTAGCTTCTGACTGCAATAGAACTTTGGGGGCTGTGGGAATCACCTTCTGCCAAGGGAAGGGATTTTAAACTAGAGTTCTGAAAGAGGCATCCCAAACCCTACTTTTTCTCTAGCTCTGCCTCTTGGGATGCTTCTGCTTCGAGGCAAAGGGGCAGAGTTTGTGAGTCTGCCCAGCTCTCTCCTCTGTTCAGTTTCTAAAGATGCAAGTACTGATATCAACCGTCCTTACAATCCCACCTTCAGTGGAAGGGCCTCTGTGAATAGGCATGTCTTCCTGCTTTCGCAGGAGAGCCAGAGTGGGCGCAGTGTCTCTGTCCTTCGCTTGGCAAGAATTCCTCGATTTTAGAAGATTGTTCTGGTGTTTGGACACTCCTGGCTCTTTTGGACGGGAGGCCAGTGTGTTGGGATTTGTGGAGGATGCCGGCTGAGCCAATCCAAATAGTAACCACTCCATGCTAATTCCGGCAAAGACAGATTACAGATTCCTTCTCAGACTTGTTAAATCACGTCTCATATTACTTTTTATATAAGTCACCTCTGGATTTAGAACAAAATGTATTTAAATTATTTCAGTTACATTGGAGGGTGTCCTAATAAATTCTTTTTTCAGTCCCCAGGAAATGTTAAATAGGTTTAGGCTGGACATGCTCACTCTCTGAACACTCCTGGAAATCTTTGCTTACGTCTGCCTTGCTGCGTTAGAAGGCTAAATAAGCTTTAGCTCTTGAAGTAGTAAAAGCGGAACTCTGAGGAGACGCCTGACACTCTTTTCCTAATTTGCTGATGTTAGTGGGGGGTCATTTTATGTCAATTGCATTCTTTCACCATTGATTCGAAATGCTCTTTCGCAATATGAAGGTGGTGAAAATATTCATCTGAGGCAAACCTCTCCAAAAGGTTGCTGTCTCTGAGTTTGGAATTTGGAGTTCTTGAAGCAGAATCATGGCATGGGGCCTCGTTTTACATCCACATTAGCAATGGCCAGGGCCCATCCGGGCCTTCACTCGCTGCTGCAGGGGTCCTGGCTCCCTGCCTGCTGCCCAGTGGCCTCAAAGCCGGGGTTGTTCCATAGGTGAGCTTTCAGCATCAGTGCCGCGGATATTTTGGACTTGATGACCTTTTCTTGTGGGCTGTCCAGGATGACATCAGCAGCGTATCTGGCCTCTACCTACTAGATGTCAGCAGCTCCCCAGCTGTGACAAAGGGAAGTGGTCCCTCCAGACTTGTCCCCTGGAAGTCACAATTGCCCTAGGTTGAGAACCTCCATTGTGAGCAGTAGGCTGATGTGGAATCCCGTGCCCATTTGTACCTGCAGTTTCCTCCACCTGCTCCCTGTCAGAGTCTCCAGGTGACTGAGCTCTTCTTCTTTCTTTTTTTGTGGTCCTGGGGATTGAACCCATGGCCTTGTGCATGCAAGGCAAGCACTCTACCAACTGAGCTATAGCCTCAGCCCCCAGCTCTTCTTCTTTCGATGATCTTGGACCCCACCTGCAATTCCCTGTCTGGGGGAGAGCAGGTGCTGACCTGAAGCTGTTCCCATGTAGAGGATGTTACCTTTGACGATGATCTTAGAGAGTGTATGTTTTTAAGGGAGGAGAAGGGGTTCCTTTTTACATTTTTAGGTATATAACTATTCAGTTATAATAGTTTCTTGACAATTTGACAGATCACTAAAATCATTCTTCTCAAAAGAAAATCTACAAGTAGCTAATGGGTATAGGAAAAAATGTCCCCCATCACTTCCCAGCAGAGAAATGCCAGTCAAAACCACAATGAGATCCCATCCTCCCCAGGTAGAGTGGCTGTTATCCAGGAGACAATAATCACAAGAGCTGGTAAGGGTGTGGAGAGAAGGGTGGTCTCGCACACTGGTGATAGGAGGTGCTTTGTACGGCCTTGAAGAACAACAGTATGGAGGCTCCTCAAAAAACTAGAGAAACGGGACATGGTCCAGCAGCGGCCACTGCTGGTGTCCACCCAGAGGGAATGGAGCATGTGGAGAAGACGCCTGGGCTTGTAGTATGTATGACATCCCCGCCCTCAGCACACGGGACGTGGGTCAACCTAAGCCTCTTCAGTCTTCATTTTAAAGAACAAGCCACATCATGACATCTCTCACTGCTCTCACACTTTGTTTGGAATATTACATTTAAAAACAAAAAATAGGAAATGCCTCTGAAGGATTTGACCAAGTCATAAAATCAAATGACAAAACACACCACCACCACAACAATGAGGAACAGCTCCAGGGACTCTAGAGAGGGGCTTCTGACCTGTGCCCCGATCCTCTGAGTTCCCAGGAAGTAATCCCACATGTGGCGTGAGCAGCCTGGGACCTCGGTGGCATTCCTGGTGCGTGCAGGTGGTCCCCAGGCTTTGATCTATGCCATCTGAAGGGCTTATGTTTTACAGCCTCTCCAGAGCACACCGCACGGTGCCCACGGCTATGGGTTCCCAGGGAGCAAGCCATCAAACTGACACCAGCTCTGGAAACCACAGCGGTGCCTCTGCAAGATGAATGGGCTCAAGCTGTCCTTCACCCCGTGACCATACACCTGGGGCGGAGCGTTGGGAGGTAGATGAGGATCATGGTCAAGGCAGGCCCTTCCCTTTTCATCTTACAGAATCATCCCAGCATGGCCCCAGATGGTTCTCGCACTCGTGGGTAAACACCATTTGTCACTGGGAATGAGAAGCGGGAAGAGGGAGGTTCACATACCTATAGATAATACATGCACTGTTCCTGCATGTGTCACAATTAGCTGTGTCTTGCCCCGTCCGATATGAAAGCCTACAAGATAAGAACAGGAGAGCATTACAAGCGGTGGCTGGGGCTCGATGGCCGCACAGAGCAGATGCCTCACACCAGATGCTTCCCAGAGCCAAGCTCGTCCCCGTCCTGGAAACCAACTGATGTGTGTCCCCAGTTTGTTCCTGTCCCTGCATTTATTATACACAAACCGTGCAGCCTCTGAAGCTGGCATGATCTTTAAATTAAGTTTAGGCCATAGAAATAATAATAATTTAGAAGCATAAGCCACTGGATGGAGTATATAATCTGATTTTGTTATAAGCCCAGGGAATTTGGGATGTTTCAGTGCAGCTTTGTATTTATAATGTTATGAAGAAACTTTGAGGGAAAACCAGCTGTAGACCTGGCTGGTGACTCCCTGGCTTGCTCAGGTCCACCCCTGTCCTTGGCAGCAGAGTGGGCATGAGGCCCGTGGCCTGCCTCCCCTGCCTGCTTGGTCCAGCAGGCCAAGAGGGGCTTCACACTGCCTTTTCTTTTTGCTTTTGGTGGTGCTGGGAATTGAACCCCAGGCTTCATACATGCTAGGCAAGTGACCTACCACTGAGCACTAGGATTTTACATTTCTTAATCTTTGAAAAAAGTCAAAAGAATATTTGTGAAACAGGCAAATGATGGGAAATTAAAATTTCAGTGTCCATAAGCGATGTTTTAAATTTTGATAGTAAAACTTTTGAATACATTTTGTTTTTAAAATATAAAGACCTAGACAGTGGCCTTCCTGTTGCCACCTGGTCTATAAATCCCAGAGCATTTACTGCTTGCCTCCTGGGTCCTCGTGAGAGCATCCTGCTGCACTGTCAGACCTCTGACTTACCCTCGCTGGCTGCATTCTCTGGGGAGTTCTGTGCCCTACGAGGCCAGATGGGTTTTGGACTGAGCATGTGTGTGTAGTGTGTGTGTGTGTGTGTGTGTGTGTGTGTGTCTAGGGGTCACTAACAGTCCCTGCTGCTAAAACGTAACCTTGGAGTTTATTTGTAGTTCTGTTGTTATATAAAGTTGAAGTGTGAAGGGCGTTTCTGGGGCAGGTTGGAGCTGTCTTGCACCAGTCACCCCAGGAACTTGTACAGGGGGCTCTATGCTCTTGTGGTCTTTCCCACCTACTTGGGTTGGCCTTTCCTCTCTGATATTATCAACATGCAGGTATAATTTTTCTGCAAATTATTTTGTACTCAGGGACAAACAGAATAACAGGAATCTGTTAAACTTGTGGCTCGAGAAAAGCTTCCATCCAAATTGGTTTCTAAATCACTGGGGACAAATTTACACACACAGAGTCACTCAACAAAGTAATAGTGTGCACAGAGGGTTTCTGTCAACAGCAATAGTCACCACCTCTGTCACCTTCACTATGTACACTTCTCATGTATGCATCACGGGTTTAAATTGAAAATAACTTTTGTTTCCTCATTGTATTTTGCGTTACATAAACATTTGACAAAAGGATTGTCTGCTCATGTGTGATTGTCTATGAGCTCCAGAAACTGGAATGTGACCTTTGAGTCCTGCTCACTTTGTTAACCGAGTGGCCACCTCTGCCCCAAGGTGTTGCCAAGCATTTCCTGAGGTTCACTTATCTGAACAGGAACTGGGATGATAATGGCCGGCTCTTCCTTTCCCTACCATCATGCCTTACGCAGGGAGCAGTTGCCTGCCACCTGGATGTTTCTTCTCCCTTGTCTTTTTCAGGAGATGGAGAAATATGTGGCTATGCCCTTGCCTTCCCCAAGGGCCAGCCCCAAGAATGCATGGATCCTGGCTGCAGATTTGCCCAGCCATGCAGTCCCCCTCCCCAGGGCCCAGCCCAGCCCACCCCAAGCTCCCAGGCCTAGTGTATGCACAAGGCTTTTCTCTGTCCAGCTCATTCTCCCTGAGCCTGGCTCGAAGCTCAGTTTTGAACAAGGTCATTTTGCACCATAAAATAAGTGCAAGAGTTGAGCCCAAGCCTTCTGTCACATGTTTGTGAGTGTGCTGTCATGCCCTTGGCTGGGTTGCTGAGGTGCTGCTGCTCTCCTGCTGTCCTGGTGGGCACACGACTGTGGTCTTTGTGCTGTCACACCAGGCTGTGGTGCTTAAAGAAGGTGGAGTTGGGTGTAACTTCACTGCTGTCTGATGGCACTCTCTGAATTTCACTCCCATAGACCTTCCTGCCCTAGACCTCAGGACAGATCTCGGTGGAGCCTCATCAACACCCACATCCCTCTCTGCTCAGTAACCTCAGAGTTTCCAAGTGTTGCGCTGACATTGGAGCCTAGAGTCTTCCAATTAATTGTGCTTCCTCGTTTCACAGAGGAGAACACAGTGACACTTCAGGTCCAGGATCTCATTATTCTTAGACCCCAGGCTTCTGGTGCTCAGTGTTGCCTTGCTTGGGACCCGTGTTCTGCACCTCGTGTAATTGGCAGCTTGGTATTGTCAGAGAACCGGGCAATGACAGGACAAAGGCTTCAGGCACCTGGGGTTCACAGAGGCTTCTTCTGCTGAGGGTGGAGAGATGCAGAAGATTGGCCTCACCCAAGCCCTCCTGAGAAGGCCGTCCTAATCACCCTGCCCAGCGTACGGTTGCCCCTTTAGAGCCAGGAAGCAGGAGGGAGTTATTAAGTGCCTACCAAGTGACAGACACCACTGTGGCCATGGAGAAGGCGTGTGAGTGAGGTAGAGCCTTCTCCCAAGGCCTGTCGTGGAGTGGGAGAGCAGGCGGTCAGCACCAGGTACAGGAGGATGGCAGAATGAGCAGTCAGGTTCTGTACAGTAGGGGGTGCTGTGAGGGGTGGCTCTGGCTTGACCCCATGGAGGTGGCATCTGAAGGGAGACCAGGGAGATGATAAAAAGCAGTCAGTTACTGGATGGTGGGGGCTGAGTGCTGCAAGCAGGACCCCCAGTCTTGGCATCCTGCAGGGGGAGATGGCAGCACGTGGCAGGACAAGACCAGAGGCCAGTGTGGCTGCACATGGTGGAGGTGAAGCCAGGTCACCCAAAGGGGAAGCTCGCTGGACATGATTTTATATTTAATGGCAGAATGAGAAGGACACTTCCTGTCAGCCCTCTTCTTCCCTGTCCTGGGACAGTGACAGCATCACTGTCCTCCTCTTTGCTCTCTCTAGTTCCTTCTATCAACAAGGAAACCGGGTGGTCAGTCACATTTCTACCATGTCTGAGAAGTTATTTTCAACTCCATTCCAAGAACTTTCCCTGGAGAGACCCTTTGGTATATTTCAAAAGTTTTTGTTTAAATCCTTGTTGTTTAAAGGAATCAAATGCCTGAGGTCCAGAAAAGCCCGTTTGGCCCTTGTCACATGGCTCAATCAAAGGCTGCTGCCACCGCTAATGTCAGCCACTCTGTGCCTGCTGAAATGTCGTGGCGCACACGAATGTTCTCGGTAGAGGGCCTGCAGCTCTGCATCCCGCTGTGCTCCTTGGTTGGTCATCCACAAGTGTCCTTGAAGCTTCCCAGGATCATTTCATGGCCACATTAATAAATGGGCTGCAGCCACTGAGCAAATGCACACTCCAAATACAGACAAAGCAGGGAAGTTCTGTGGGACAGGATGCACCAAATGCTCTGCTGGGAATCCCCTATGTTTCCTTCTCAATTTGGAAACACGTCACGAAACCAGTGCTTGGAGAGGGTGTCTTTCCATATTGTCATTGCATGAACAGGGGCAGTCCAGAACCCTCAATCTGCTAGAGTAGATGCTTATCCAATGAGGGGGAAGTAGAGATCTTTAATAAATTAGACGCTCTGAGATGTTAGAGCTTAGGTTATTGATCTAAAAGGTGTGAACAAAGCATTTTGATCAAACATTTTTTTTTTTTTTTGTCCTGAAAGTTGAGTGCCTCCTTTGTAAGACTCCCTTCCCTTTTGATTTGAGAAGTCCCTGCTGTTTGTAGGTTTATGACCTCACTCCTGAGATGATTCCTGGTACCTTCTGGGTGTTTGGCTAATATTAGTTTTGCCAAGTCATTCTCAGTGTTTGTGTTCTTCTACTGAAATCCAGAAAAACACACTAATCTAATCAAAGAATTCCAACTGAGTGCAGAAAGAAGATGAAAAGTGTAAATTGGGAAAAGTTCTCTTCTCACCTTTCTCCCCTTTGGGCTCTGAGGACAAGCACTTGCATCCTACATAGGAGTGCTGTGGCCCTGGCTCTCATCCCACTGCAGACAGCTATCATTTGCATCTGAATGAAGGGGGTCACTTGAACTCAGCATTTAGCATCCAGGAAGCACCAAGGGTCCCAGGTGGGGTCTTTCCTGTTGGTGATTTAGGGTTTTCTGTTCTGCTTGCCCTGTTGCCTGCCATCCCCCCAGAGCACAGGTTCAACCCAGGGACCAAATCAGGACACTGGCCCTCTCCTTGCTCAGTTGTCTTTGAGCACTCCTCTGTTGGGATGGGTCTCCTTGAAAGTTAGAAGACACTAGACGTGATGTATAAAGTTACCAGGGACATCAAGGGTGACTGTGTGGAAACACACGGAGCAGAGGGACTTGATGCTCTGTTCAAACAGGAGGGATCTGGACACGCTAACTGTGGTGTCCAGTTGTTGAGTCACTTCCACGTCTACTTTGTAGCGAGCCAGATTCTTCACGAGGCCCGTGCTCTACTTAAAAAAGCAGAGTGAGTATGCTTTACAGAACACAGCCTGGTGCTTGGGGCATCCCCATCCAAAGAAAACCTCAGGGCTACCTCCCTGCGGTGGCCTGGGCTTCTCAAGTTTAACTCAGCATGCCAATCACCAGGTTTTCTAGCTACCTCCAGTTCTTCAGTTGTCAATATGGAAAATCCCAGATTATACAAACATATATCCTGTGTTTACAAGTGTATAACAAATATATATCTACAGACTGAAATATATTTAAAATAAGTTATGGCATATCTATTGAAAAAAGTGTTGGTGACAGTTTTCTGCATGCGAATCTTCAGTTATTCCTTTCACGGGTCATTAGCAAAAGAGGGGCTCCGAAGCAAAATTTATAAAAGA